GGGGCAACAGGCAAGAAAAGACTGAATCCCCGCTTTTGAAGATTTCACCTATTTCTCAGCTTGCCTGGAGTAGGCCACTGGGATTCCCTTCCCCGGGAAGCACCGGGAGTGTCCGGTAGATCGCTGATCCTCCGGCCCTCACCAGCTCTGTAAATCGGTATGCGACGCTCTCCTTTCCCACACCCCTTTCTCGCCCCTTAACCTTCCTTCCTAGTCATTTCCGCTGTTCCTACCCGCTCCGAAACCACTGGTCTGCAGCATCTTTCCTCCCGTCCTCACCTGAATCCCTTTCTGCAAGCAGTACTTAGAGATAGTAACTAGGGAATCTGGGGGTGTGGAACTGCATCTTGGGACAAGTAGTCCTGGCAAGAAGAAAGCAATGGAAAACTACAATTCCCAGAATACAAGTTCATTTCCTCCCTTTTCCCCAGTGAGCCCATTTCAATCCACCACCTTTTAAAGACCCTCTTAGCCACGTCGACTGTGTGGGAAAAAACTTTTAAAAAGCATTTAAGGTTGTTTAAACCTACCATTTCGAGAGCATTCTGAAGGCTAAAGTGAGAAATAAGACCAGGGCTACAGAGAAGTGAGTTTCACAACCTAGTCTGGCACTGGGTTAGACAGTCGCTCTGACAACAGTCAGGCATTTGTGTGGTCGCCTGAGGGTGGGACCTTCGGCGGCGGCTCCGGGAAACCCCGTGGGCCAGCGCGGCGCTCTTCCTTTCGGATCCGCCATCTGTGGTGAGTGTGTGCTCTTGGGCCGCTGTGCGGCCAGCGACCTACGCGTCGCTTTCTCGTGTGTCCTCAGGTCTAATCCATCTCTTCCTTTCCCTCAATCTCAGGTGGAACCGCCACCAAGATGCAGATTTTCGTAAAAACCCTTACAGGGAAGACTATCACTCTCGAGGTACGGGCCAGGTGGTGTGGGGAAGCCAAGGCCTGCCTGAATAAGGTCCCGAGGTGGAGTTGCGGACCGGCGCTGTTTTCCAAGCCTTAGAACGTGATTCCGAATTTGGGTTCTGAAGCCTGGCCTGGAATTGAGGGTAGTTTGCCGAGCAAGGGCTGCTTTTCCACGTTTAGAGTGGTGCTGGCCAAGTAGCCAAAGCAGGGCGCCTGCAGTGGGGAAGAGGTCGCTCCCGGCCGGCGGGCGCGAGCACGTGTGGCCCAGCAGCGGCGCCTGCCCTAGCGTGGGGAAGGGGACGTGCTAGCAGTCCTGGGAGGTTGCCCGTTGGGTGGGTGATCGGCTTGAGTGAGTAGGCTTCAGCCCCGCCACCCAGTCGGTTCTGTTGTAACTGTTGAATCAAGTGAGTTTGTCCTTCCGTATTGTGTAACCAATGTGCTTGTATTTTAAAACTAATAGGTCGAACCCTCGGATACAATAGAAAATGTAAAGGCCAAGATCCAGGATAAGGAAGGCAAGTAATATTTTGTAGTTTAGGAAAATTAACCTGTAGGGCTGCCAGCCTACCAAGGCATATCTGCTGTTGGTGGGGTGGAAAGAAAAGGAGGTTAGATTGACAAAGTGAAATACTACTTGAATAACACAGTAAATGCTTATGTGCTAGAGCCACGCCGCCTAGATTGGTCCCTGCAGGACATTTCACTTAGGTGAACAAGTTTGGACAAGGTGGACAAGTTTTTAAACTCTCTATGCCTGTGTCCTCATCTGTAAAATAAAGATTCACAGATTAACACATATTAAATATTCTTAAGATTAAATGTGGTAAAGTCTGCAAACATTTAGAACCATGCCTAGCCTGTAGTAAGACCTCAGTGGCAGCTGTTAGTACCATTTATTTGATTCAGGGTTTCTTTGTGAGTCTGGAGCACATAGGGCTTGTTCTGCTGTGACTGTTTTTTTGGTTTTTTAATTAGGAATTCCTCCTGATCAGCAAAGACTGATTTTTGCTGGCAAGCAACTGGAAGATGGACGTACTTTGTCTGACTACAACATTCAAAAGGTCTGTTGAGGGAAAAGCATAGCTAAAAAATAGTCTCATTTTGAAAATTTTGACACAGAAAAGTGGGGAGACTAGTAGTAGATTTCTAGGTAAATGCTACACTAATATTTAAGAAGCGCTCAAGTTCTAGATTTTGTAGGTTGCATTCCATGGCATAATTTAGTGTGTTCTTTAATCTCCATATAAACTAATAGTTACAAGAATCAGATACTTCTTTTGGGGCAGGGGTCAAGGCTCCGGTGGTATTGTGTACTACTGTTGTATTAGCAAATGCATGATGTTTGTTCATTTTTAATGCAGCATGAAAGCCTCTTTCATCCTCTGATCCATTAACAGGAGTCCACTCTTCATCTTGTGTTGAGACTTCGTGGTGGTGCTAAGAAAAGGAAGAAGAAGTCTTATACCACTCCCAAGAAGAATAAGCATAAGAGAAAGAAGGTTAAGTTGGCTGTCCTGAAATACTATAAGGTGAGCCATTTTAAGGTGATGGGCAGAATATCAGCAAAGTTATGGTTTATTTGGAAACTTAATCCTTACAGTAACTTGTCAACATTTTCTAACGGAGTAATTTGACTTCTATATCTGGTATTACCTACTTTTCGTTTACTTTATTTATTTTTTCATCACTGAAGAGATTTAATACTTCTGGTTTAAATGAGGTATTCCAGAAATGAGAATTTCAAAGTTTCTGGGTTTTTTTCCTGTTTGGTATTTGAAGAAGCTTATATAATAAGGGTCACCTTTAGCTGCTTATTCTAAACTAGGTTCGGAGTTGAAGTCAGATCTGGGTTCAGGTCTTTGCTTCATTTACCAGCTCAAAAAGCTGACCTTCAATGTATAAAAGTCCCAGTACTTCTGAACTTTCATGTTGCAGTAGTAATCAGTATGAGGATTTGGGGTGCTTTGGTTTATAAACAGTAAAAACTACCAGCATTTTGTGGTTAAAAGCTTAAATATTTTGAGTCACTTACATTAGACTTCAGAATATGTTGTGAAAGTTATCTTATAGCAGATTTGTACTTTCCATTCCAGGTGGATGAGAATGGCAAAATTAGTCGCCTTCGTCGGGAGTGTCCTTCAGATGAATGTGGCGCTGGAGTTTTTATGGCCAGCCACTTTGATAGACATTATTGTGGCAAATGTTGTCTAACTTACTGCTTCAATAAACCAGAAGACAAGTAATTGTATATGAGTTAATAAAAGATATGAACTAACATTTAATTGTTGGGTTTTTTTGAGCTTTAAATTGATTATGTGATACTGTGGTTCTGTGTACCTGCCAAGTGCCAACCATGAGGGAAAGTCTTGCTATTTTCTTTTCATGATATAAGCTAGTTTATATTTCTGTCAGTTTCTTGACCTCAGTACCATAGACATTTTGGGCCAGAAAATTGTTGTGGGGGCTACCATAGGATAGTGAACAGCATCCCTGTTCTCTCACCATCCCCCATTGAGAACCACTGATTTGTATGAAAGTGTTAAGACCTTGGCTTAAGAAGGCTATAGCATACTTCTGTTTCATACAGGGGAAATGTAAAGGCTGGTTTCAAGTTGCCAATTCAAAAAATGCATCTTGAGTGCCTGGGTGATTTCAGTGGAATGTTTACTCTCTGGCAGTATAAGGGAACATGCCTTACTGTTCAATGTTGAGCATGAACTCTTGGGAATTTAATGTTCTATTCAGGATGAGTCCCTGTAAAGGAAGGACTACTCACCACTGTTAACACTGGAAAATGAGACAGTTTCACGTGGTACTTGATTGGTACCATGTCTTCTCATGGAGCTCTATTCAGAGAGGATTGGTTCACCTGGTACCACTCTTAAGCATATACTTGAAGGAAGTTTATTAAACTCTGATTATTACATTCAGTGATAATGCTAATAATTAGCAATTCCCTTTTACCATATTGCTAGGCTTTATACTCTAGGATTTCTAAGTTGGAGGAATCCTTAGATAAGGATTCTTATTTCTGTAGCACTTTGACAGTTTGTACTAGTGCATATTAACACCTATAAGACAACTTAGGTACCTTTTGACCAGTAGTGGCAATCTCTGCCTTCCATAAAGCAAAACATTACCATGTACATTTTTAATGTATCTTAAAATCCTGGATCCCAAGAAGTCTTAGCTAGAACTTGCTTTTCTTCATAACAAATAATTTGATCTCCCACTTTAAATTCAATCTTTTCTTCATCTAAACTGAGACCACAGTCCATTCCAGTTTTGATGACTGAAACGTCATCTTTATGGTGTTTCAGTGAGGTTAACAAGCCTTAAAAAAAAAGAAAAGTAAAGTTAGTATAGTCAGCAAATAACGAATATCTACTAAATGCTAAGTATGGTGTTACAAGGAAATTTACACTAAGTTCTTAAGAATTTCACAGTCATGTTAATGATGGGACTAAATACTAGGGAACCCCCCGAAAGTACAGTTTGCTGTAAACAACTTTTGACTTGTAACCAAAAATCCTAAATCTCCCACTTGAAAGGTAGACTAAGACTTTTTGCAGAGGATGGTATTGTACTCAGGACTTGAATGGGAAAAGCCAATACAAACATCACTGGCAAAAGGTCCAGTTACAAAAGGATGGGAGTAAGGAAGTATATGCGATACAGAAAGTGGAGGAGATAAGGCTGGAAAGGCAGTTTGGGGCCAATTTTTTAAAGCTTAGAAAATCCAACCAGTGAACTAATCCTGGAGGAGTCATCAGAACCAGTAGGGAGGAAGCCCACCAACTACAGACTGATTATGAATTATGAAAGCAATAAGAAATGGCATGAACTGGGATTATGGGAGTGAAAGATGAGCAGATTTCAGATCATTATACAATCAACAGGTTTTGGTGACTATATTATAGAAATAGATTTTGATATTGCTTACCCTTCCAAATAACATGTCCGTTACGGATTAATTTAAATTTTCTCTGTTTTTCTAACTGTCCCTTTTGGACTCTGCAGCCAGCCACAGGAAGTTTTTTCTTCCCTTCTGTTATAGAGAAGGTAGCTAGTATAGAAGCCTCACCTTTAAGAAGAAGAGAATTGAATTAATGTGCAGAAACCTAAATATTCTGAAAAATACATAATTTCTGACATTCTGCAGTACGAGAATTGAAGGTATGAGGAAAATGTGAACTCATGCATAGAAAGAAGTCCTTGTTTCTTTGACTCTACCAACTTAATTTTCTTGATTGATATTAGGAGTAAAAATGCATGAAAATCCTTAGCTATTTCAGTCTGCTTCATGAAAACCAAGTTTTCAGCTTTCCTTCAATATATTTTCTAGAGGAGATCATCTATCATAACCTGATTTAATCTCACCACTAGTAATTTATATCTGCTTTAGGAGTACTAATTCTGTGAGTCCATTTTTTTCACTGACTAAAAAATTTTTTAAATTCCAATAATAAAATGGTAACACTAGAATGAACCAATTTTCTAGAGTGTTACTTGACTGGTATTTGTTAGTGTTATTTGGTGTGCTTGCTCACTTCTAGAAGCCCCCTCCATGACTCATAGTTTTCCAAATTGCTCTTAGCACAAGAACATACAAATCTGTATGATCATGTTGAGGTCAGAAAAGCCTAAAATAAGCCTGTATGTGGACCCAAAATGAAAACTAAATCTCATCATAAGGAAACATCAGACAAACCCAAATTAAGGTACATTCTATAACATCACTGGGCTGTTGGCTTCAAAAATGTCAAGGTCAAAGCAGACAAAGATTGAAGAACTGTCCCAGATTAAATGAGACTAGAGAGATGTGATAACTAAATATAATCCGTGATCTTGGAGTAGGGGAAAAATATATACTATAAAGTGCGTTGTTGGGACAATGGATAAAATTTGAATATGGACTGTATATTAGATAATAGTATTGATAAATATTAAATTTCCTGAGTTTGTTCATTGTTCTGTGGTTTTATAAGAGAACGTCTTTGTGCTTAGCAGATGTACATATTTAGGGGCAAATGGGCACAATATCTGAAACATACTCTCAAATGATCCAGGGAAAACAATGTGTGTATATGGAGGGGGGGAAGAATAAGGCAAATAGAGCAAAATGTAAACAATTGGTAAAATGGGCAAAAGGTATATAGGAGTTCCTTATATTTTTCTGGCATTTTTTTTTTTTTTTTTTTGGCAATTTAAAACTATTAACAATATTAAAACTTAGCTAGGCAAGGTAGCATAGTCCCATCAGCTCGGGAATCTGAGGTAGGAGGATCCCTTGAGGTCAGTGAGTTAGAGACCAGCCTGGGCAATATAGTGAGACCCTGTCTCTAAAAAATAAAAGAAAATTAGCCAGGCATGGTAGCTCATGCCTATAGTCCCAGCTACTCAGGAGGCTGAGCTGGGAGGATCACTTGAGCTCAGAAGCTTGAGGTTGCAGTGAGCTACAATCATGCCACTGCACTTCAGCCTGAGCAACAGAATAAGACCTTGTCTTTTTAAAAAAAAAAAAGTTGGCCAGGCATGGTTGCTCTTGCCTGTAATCCTAGCACTCTGGGAGACCATGGTAGGATGATCACTTGAAGTCAGGAGTTCAAGACCAGCCTGAACAAGAGCAAGACCCCATCTATACTAAAAATAGAAAAAATTAGCCAGGCGTGGTGGTGCACACCTGTAGTCCCAGCTACTCTCCAGGAGGCTGAGGCAGGAGGATCACTTGAGCCCAGGAGTTTGATTTTGCTGTGAGCTAGGCTGATGCCACAGCACTCTAGTCAGGGCAACAGAGCAAGACACTGTTTCAGAGGGGAAAAAAAAGTTAACCCAAACAATCTGCAGGTGGGGAGGGGAAAAGGACAGATAAGGCAATTCAATCAATTTTGAATAAATTCAGTCTTCAGTCTGGCTAAGTGATATGCTAGAAAGAATTTTATTTTTCTTTTGTGATTCCTCTGGGCAATTTGGATAGAAAGAATATTTTAAAATATTTAACATTTAAATGTTAAATAAATTTTCTTCTCATGGTGGATTTCTCTGCCAGCCCAGGACAAAATCAATGACTCCTTCCCTGACCCTGTTAATAATCTTTATGCCTGCTATCCTAATTGTATTCAATTATTTGTTCATATCTAAATTTGAGGGCAATTCTTAATGCCTTAATTGTCTTTGTATCCTCAATGTGTTACCCAGGGCAGGGGTTTATAATATATGTAAGCTTACAATGAATCCTCATCTTATGGTAGTCATTTTTTTTATAGAACACAGAACATGTATTTCAACAGTGAAATACATATTTCACTGTATTTTCAGAGGAAGACATATTTCCCCTAAACTTTGCTTTCAAGTGCTGTTTATAGCATCTAAGATACGAATATTTAAAAGTAACAATCAGTGAACACTCACCTACTGGGTGTTCTTCCACAGTGCAGGGCAATCTGCTGCTCAGTTCCTCCTGCAAGTCTTCAATAAGACGGTAAATGATTTTGTGAAGTTTAATTTTTACTCCTTTTTTTGCAGCAGACTGCTGGATAACATTGCTTGCATTCACATTAAAGCCATATATAACACCTGGCAAGCAGAAATACAATCAATAAAGTAACACAAAGATTGTATTATAATCATTTATTTGTCTTTCAAGCAGATACTCAACTCTAAATGGTTTTATTTCTTTCTATGTAAATTAAATAGGAATAGCAATTAGGGGAGATAAGAAATTCAATGATTTTTTTCCCTCACCAAAACTAGTAAATTTTCAAATTAAAGAAAGAGAATGTTATATAAATTGTATTGTGGCTTGTTTAACAAGGAAAATTTCTTTATGATTTTAAATCATTATTAAAAAACATTATTTTAAGGGCCCATAAAGAACAAGGCCATATGCTAAACAAAACTTTGATTTTTATACCAGAGGAATAAGAAAAGAAAACTGGCCAGGCACAGTGGCTCACACCTGTAATCCCAGTACTTTGGGAGGCCAAGGAAGTAGAATCATTTGAGACCAGCCTGGGCAACATAGTGAGACCCTGTCTCTACCAAAAACAAAAAAACATTAGTAAGCATGGTGGCTCACACCTGTAGTACTAGCTACTTGAGAGGCTAAGGTAGGAGGATTGCAACAGTGTAAAATCCTGTCTCTAAAAAAAAGAGAAAACAAAGACTGATAAGGGCTGAAATATTATTGCTTTATTTTCATAACAATTCTATTATGAAATTATAATCTTACTGCCTACAATTTTTACGATTTACACTTAGGCAGTCAGATGGCCAAAAGATGCTCAAAAATAGTGACTTAAGGGGGTGTGGGAGGATGCAGTGACTTAATTAGTAAAGTTCAAGAGTTATTTTAAGAAGTAAAAGAAGTTTCATGGAGCTGACCACTTTACCAAAGAACAAATAATGTATTTAACTTCAAATACTTTGGGAGAAAAAAAAAAAGCAAAAACAAAACACTCTTGCCTTAAACAAAATGAATGAAAAAAATTAACTCAGTTTAATCAAACACAACCACCTCCAAAGTCTTGTCATTAAGAAATCATTCAATACTCTGATACTCTGACTACACCACATAGCACAGTGCTAGGCCAGTCAGTGCCTAACAAATACTTTGAATTAATCAGCATTACTGAAAAACTTTTTCAGTAATAGAGATGACATCTAATTCTAATCAAGTCAGGTTATAAAGTTCCTCCTTTCTAAATGATTCATTAATCACTCAATAATGTTGGCACTTTACCAAGTATAGGACCTAGTTAAAGTGACAGTCATGAGTCCCCTTTTTGTGTATCATAAGTTACTAATAAACATAGTGCCCTGCCTTCTAAGCATTTAAAGCTAAAAGGAGCTTTTGATCTAAAAAGATATGATTTATAAAGTTATCAATTAACTAAAATAGGTAGCCAAAACTAAAAGATGAAGGAAAGTACAGAAGAGGCTGATTACAGTGTTAGGAGCATCCAGAAGTCTAAAATAATGAAAGTTACAGAGAACCAAGCTTGGTTTGGATAGAGAATTGGGAGGGAGGGGAGAGGGGGCAGTAACGCTGCTTAAAAAAATGATCAAGAAACACTACCAGATCTTGAAATAGTTCCCCAAGGTTGCAGTACAGCACGACAAGTGGAGTTATGGTGGCAATACTGCACATCCTGTTGGTCTCAGTTGCTAGCTGGGAGTGGACTATGGCAGGAAGCGTGATGCTGATGCAAGTAAACGTCAAGTGTGACAAACCAAGCAATACAAGACAGAAGCAAATGGTTCACAGGGTGATCCAGAACACAGTTTAACAAATAAGAAATGAATCCTTACCGCTAAATGTTTCAGCAAGGTTAACATCATTTTCACTAATATCACCCACTCCAAAATGTACTAATTCCAGTTCACACTCGTGTGAAGCATCATAGGTATCCATAATGTTTAAAAGGGTCTCAACTGAGCCATCGACATCACCTAAATACAGCAAAGGTTTAAAATTGTTGGTTTTAACAGTTAGGCATCAGCAGACACAAAAAAGACAATAATCTATTTAAAAACCATGATAGGAAAAGCATTTACTACTAAATCTACTTTTGTTTTGGTTTAGCATTATATCTCCTTGACTTAGTAAAGTATAATGAGCCCAATATACATTTACAACAAAACCAGCAAGAAATATGTTGACTAAGAAAATCTGTCCCAAAATACTGAAATAATTTTCACTTAAATTTAAGGGCCCAAACCAATTATGAGAATAAAGAAATATATATATTCAAAGAATGAGTTGTAAAGTAAAATCTTTTGAAAGGCACCTTTAATTATTACAGGAAATGTATTTGAATCTCTTTCTATTTTCTCTTTTGGCTTTAAAGGTTTTCCTTCTTTTCTTTCTAGATACTCTTTAAATGATCTCTCCTTCCAATGCAAAGAGCCATACTTCTCACGGACTTTCCGATGTGCTTCTTGGTGTTCTTTTCGCTTTTCTTCTATTACTTTGAGATCCTCTTTACTTTTCTCCTGTTCTTGCATATATTTCCTCCAGTCAACAACTTCACGTGCCCTTGGCTTTACAGGGGAAAAACTGGCATTATTTAATGAAATAGACACCAGTAACTGCTAGATAAAGGCTTTGTGTTTCCCCCCTTATGAAATTAGCTTAAGTCATGTATGAAACCACTAATTTTGTAAGTTTCAAGAAATGTGTAGAATTTTAATTTGGGAGCTTTGTATATAATTGAAATGATTTAATTTAAAAATCTTATCTTGAATTTTAAAAAATAATTCTGTAGTCTCATTCTAAAATGGTACAACTGGTCCCCTCACAGCCTCTTATAATCTAGAATTGCTAACATTAACACACGTCTGTGGATAACATTACAAATTGATATTTAAAATCATTATATCACATCTAATATATAGAATTAAGCTTGATGTACCTCAGATTCTACTTCAAGAATTTCATCCCCTGCAGAAGGAAGGTCTCTCCAGCCTATAATTCCCACTGGCATGCTGGGATAGGCCTCACTGATTGTTTTTCCATTTTCATCAAATATTAACCGTACTTTTGCCCAGCTCTTTCCAGCAACCAGAACTGAGCCTTTTCTCAAAGTTCCTCTTTGGATTATAGCTGTAGTAACAGGACTAGAATGAAAATAAAAGTATATATTTTTAATGCCATAATCAGGATATAGTTGTACTTTCTTAAGTAGAGCTAAGATATCTTTATGAGGTTTAAATACATATAAACATATGTATACACAGGGTTAATTTTACCACTTATTAACTTCTTAAGCATATTATAAAAACATTTCAAAGCCAGCACAGTGGTACGCATCTGTAGTCCCACCTACTCAGGAGGATCACTTGAGCCCAGGAGTTCAAGGCCAGCCTAGATAATATAGCAAGACCCCCATCTCTAAAAAACAGAAAATTTCTTCACAACAGCCAAGGGTAGTAGCAACCCAAATGTCCATAATCAGATGAATGGACCTTTCATCCAAAGAAAATGTGGTATAAACATATAAGGGCATATTATACAGTCTTAAAAAAGAAGGAAATCCTATCATATGCTAAAACATGGATAAAATTCTAGGACATTATGCTAAGCGAAATAAGCCAGTCACAAAAGGACAAATATTATATGAAGTTATCTAAAGTAGTCAAAATCATAAAAATAAAAAATAGGTAGTTGCCAAGGGCTAGGGAGAGGGGTAAGGGAATTAGTGTTTAATGGGTATGAAGTTTTAGTTTTACAAGATGAAAAAGTTCTAGAGATCTGTTGCACACTAATGTGAATATATTTAACACTACTGATCCGCATACTTAAATGTGGTTAACACGGTAATTTTTGGTTTTTTTTAGAGATAGGTTGCACTATGTTGCCCAGGCTGGTCTCAAACTCTTGGACTGAAGCAATCCTCCTACCTCAGCCTCTCAAGTAGCTGGAATTACAGGCTCAGTTCACTGTGCCCTTAAACATGGTAAATTTAATGTTACATGTTTCTCACCACAATAAAAACAAAAAACAAAAAACGTTTCTTATAAAGTTATGCTAAGAGAAGGAGCAGGGAACAGAATGTTCTGAGAGAATCCTAATCCACTTTCTATCCTACTCTCCATGTCAGCTAAGAAATTGCTCACATTTGTTACTGAGTATAAAGAAATGAGAAAACCTCTCTTGCTGATAGGTAGTAAAATTCAAGAAGAGAACAACATTTCAAAGACCTTCCTAAATAAAGTATTAATGATTGAGGTCATAAAAAATTTACAAACCCTAAAATGCAACTATTGGTATTTCATTTCAATTTATTTTATCTATGAGGCTTTACCAACTCAGTCAAGTCAATGGGGGGGAAAAAACCAAACAAATTGAATGAACTACTTAAGTCATCCAAATATGACTACTAGATGTATACAGATAGTTGCTATGGTCTACTGATAATAAGTAAATTTTTGTGTCCTGTGTGTTAGTACAATAAAATACTTTTCAAAAATAAATGCTTTGAAAATATTGTTCATCGGCCGGGCGCAGTGGCTCACGCCTGTAATCCTAGCACTCTGGGAGGTCGAGGCGGGTGGATCGCTCAAGGTCAGGAGTTCGAGACCAGCCTGAGCATGAGTGAGACCCCGTCTCTACTAAAAATAGAAAGAAATTATCTGGACAACTAAAAATATATATATAGAAAAAATTAGCTGGGCATGGTGGCACATGCCTGTAGTCCCAGCTACTCGGGAGGCTGAGGCAGGAGGATCGCTTGAGCCCAGGAGTTTCAGGTTGCTGTGAGCTAGGCTGACAACATGCAATAAAAATGTTATTATATAATCAGGTCACAAAAACCATAGAACAAAATTATTAAAAAGCAAACATTTTAACAGTCCTACCCTCTTCCTTTGTCTGTGAAAGACTCTATTACTGTTCCTTCCACTGGACCAGTGCGATCTGCTTTCAATTCTAACATTTCTGCGAGAGCAATTGTTGCTTCTGCCAAAGCCATCAGATTGTCACCCTTTAATAACAAAGGTTGTTAATACACATTAATAAATATTTTCTGTAAATGTAAATACCAGGGTCAGAAAGTCAAATTATCCTTGACAGTTATATTATACTTTTCTCTTTAAGCATTAAAGGCATGAATTACCCAATTGAACAAAGAAATGAAGGAAGAATGAAGAAGGATAAGAGGGAGGGGAAAAGGAAAGAAGGAGAAGGAAGGAAGGGGGGAGAGAAGAAAGGAAGGAGGGAAGGAAGAGAGGGAGGGAGGGAGGAAGGGAGAGAGGAATCAATCATCAAGAAAACCTAACCCAGGGACAGATCTTGCAAGGAACAAGTGGCTATTTTTTTAAAAGGATGGCTACTGGTCAGGCTTGCTAATACCCTTTCATAAACACATGCCCCATTCATTTTCTTTCTCCTCCATCTGTCTGTACAATTGTGTTTTCTTCCTTGCACTGACTTTCTTTCTTTTTTTTCCTCCTAGAATTCCAATGCTTTTATTGCATGGAGCCCATCAGAACTAAAACTAGTGAATCCGGAGACTTTAGACAATATTGTAAAAGGGATGTCTTTAGAAAGTCAAACTTGCAAACTTGCAACTCTCAGCTGGCCAGAGGTTAGTAATTCAATCTGTGAATCCAAACAAATTTATCTTTTTCAGATTCTTGCTGTCTGCTTTTTAAAAAACAATTAATATATAATAGCTCTCACGAACTTTCTTAATGATGCTACTTTACCTTTGAAATTCTATCCAACTGAACAAGCCTTACATCTATTATTTCATTTGATCCACTCAAGAATCCTATAAAGTAAGCAAATCGAACATTACTTACCCTTATTAAATAAATGAGAGAAAAAGCACTGACTAGACCCAGGCTCTAAGCCATTCCTGCAACCACCCAGCTATGCAGCCTTGAAAAATCACTTCATCTCCCTGGATCTCCTTTCTTCAATCATAAAATGAAGGAGCTAGAGTAGATGATTCTTTTACCTTTCATGATCTATGCTTACTATGCTCTGTAGGGCTCCAAGATCACACAGCTAATTCACTGGTGATAGAACCAGAACTGATAGGCAAGGGATGTTTCCACTCTCCATGTCAGCTAAGGGACTGCTCACAGTTGTTACAGTATATAGAGCAATAGGCAACTGTAAAAAAAAATTGATTAAATACTCTGCCTATCTACCCACTCATTGCTAGTATTTATTCCAGTTTACAAAATGCTGCTCCAACAAGTAGAGCTGGAGTTGTTTCTTTGCATGAGTAATCCTCTGTATCTTGGAAAAGCAGCCTCATCTTACCCCCTGCCACTCTCTTCCACTTCCCTCCATTCCCTAGGAATCATCTCTGCCATGCTGCCAAATATGCCTAAGCAGCTTTGTATCTATCTACTCCTCTGGTAGTATCTGGGCAGAAAAGATGGTCAAATCTTCAAGTATTTGAATCTTATTGTAGTAAGTTTGCCATCTGGCTTTTGGAGTGTAATAACAATTGAGCTATTATGAAAAGATAACAAAGTAAGGTAGTATTTTATGAATTTCAGAGGAAAAGAAGCATAGTTTTACTATTAATAGAGGCATAATTTCTAAGCATCTTTGAGGTAATAAATTTAGGAAAAGTAAAGATGAAATGACATTTAATTGGAGGAATGTGGTTAAGTACAGCACCATCCCTTCAGTGAATGATCAAGAAAAAAAAGATCTGTATTATATTAATAACTGAACTGTGAAATATGATACAGATGGATAAAAAAGGAAATTGTTACTTAGCAGCAACCTTTGTAGGATAAGAGAATTGGAAAATGCTGATATGAATGAAGTACTGAGCCTCCTTGGTGTTTTTTAATCCAAGAAACAATAATTGGTAATTTTAAAGAAAATGGAATTCATCATAAATAACATTATAAAAGTTATAGCAATTTCACCCATAGAAACATTCAGTCAATCAATAACAAAATCAAGCTAAATTTAATCTTTGTCTCAGTGAAATTCTTGTTTAAATCTCTCTTAAATGTGCTAAGGCCTATTTCCATTGTTTTTTGCTTATAAAAGGCATGAAATACAAGCACTTTTCATTACCAACTAGATTTCATTTCTACTTAAAACAGTCTTTAGCCTACTGTTACTCTATCTCCACATCATTCACTATTCGTTCTCCTCATTCTAAGTATCTCATAATAAAAGCATTAGGTTTAGATCCAACTCCCCACTGATCAGCTGTATAACTGTGAACTGGCGACTCACCTCTCTGAGCCTAATTCCTAATATGCCACACCAGGATGGTAACAACATCTTTGCCTAGTTCCCACAGAAGTTTGTTTAAAACAACACAACTTGTGTATGTCAAAATGTTCTTTAGGTATAATAGAGTGTGTGCATCATGTATAGCGTTCCCGTCAGAGCACATTCATCTCTGAGGTACCCGCACTTACCGTAAGTGCAGAGACATGCACCGCTTGAACATCACCTCCACAATCTTCGCACACCACATCATAAGCCAGCAGCTCTTTTTTCACTTTTTCAGGATCAGCCTCAGCTTTGTCACATTTGTTTATGGCAAGGACAATAGGAACTGAAAGACACAGAGTTAAGAAGAGTGCAAATGATGACACCTTCAATTCCAGGTATTCACAGCGGAAAACACCAACCTGTTCTGGCTTTCTCTTTGCTCAGCAGATATACTTATATAACAAAAGGCCTACAAAGCCAGGTGTGGTGGTGCCTGCCTGTAGTCCCCACCATAGGGAGGCTGAGCAGGATTCGGGGGTTGTGGGTGGTGGTGGGGAATTGCTTGAGCCCAGAAGTTCAAGTTCAGCCTGGGCAACACAGCAAGATCCTGTCTCTTAAAAAAAAAAAAAAACACAAAACCTAACAGACTCACTTTAGAGTCATACCACCCTACCCTGCTCTCTGCATGTAAAGAAGAAATCCATATGTGAGATGTTAAGACTAAAATTAGGCTGGGCCCAATGGCTCATGCTTGTAATCCCAGCACTTTAAGAAGCCAAGGCAGGAGGGTCACTTGAGGCCTGGAGTTTGAGACCAGCCTGGGCAACATAAGGAGAGACCCCATTTCCACAAAAAAAAAAAAAAAAAAAATTAAAAAATTAGCCAGGCATGGGGCTGTATACCTGTAGTCCTAGTTACCTGGGAGGCTGAGCCAGGAGAATTCCTGGAGCCCAGAAGTTTGAGGCTGCAGTGAACTATGATAGTACCACTGCATGCTAGCCTGGGCAACAGAGCAAGACCCTTTCCCTAAAAACCAAAACAAAACCGAAAAACAAATTTAAAAAAATTTTTTAAAACCCTGTAATTATAAACAAATTCTGAATTAAGAAAAGTCATCTGAGAGAAAAATGCCTGTCCATAAACATAAAAGCAAGATCAGTAATTTACATTGGAGATAATCTCCAGAAAAAAAATCATGAGAAGATTCTAATTCAATACTATTAGATCATTTGCATCTTCTTTCCAGGCTTTGTTAAGTCATTGCTAAAACTCAACATCTCATCCTCGGTTGAAACTAAATATCACTATTACGAACTGTCCTTTAGGATTTACAGCAACTCTTTATTCATACACCTAGCTCACTGACCAACACAAAACAGGCTCTCAATAAATACTTTTTGTTGTTGTTTTGTTTTGTTTTTTGAGATGGACTTTCACTCTGTTGCCCAGACTGGAGTGCAGTGGTACTATCATAGCTCACTGTAACCTCCAACTCCTGGGCTCAGATGATCTTCCCACCTCAGCCTCCCAAGTAGCTGGGACTACAGGCACTACAATGCCAGGCTAATTTTTAAAAATTTTTTGTAGAGACAGGGTCTCACTATGTTGCCCAGGCTAGTCTCAAACTCCTCGATCCACCCACTTCAGCCTCCTGAAGTGCTGGGATTACAGTCGTGAGCCACTGCACCAGGCCTCAATAAATGTTGACTTAATGAATGGACCAGATAATCTTATAATCTACTTGTCATTACTAGACATACCCTCTCTTTAGAGATATCACACAAAATTCTAGGAAATAATTCTCTGGTTGCATTTTACCATCTCTGCAATTTTCTCAGGTATCAAAGGAACAGAAATTGAAAAAGACAAAAAAGTTTTGCAATCCACAACCTACTATTGTGAAAAAGTACAGTCCATGTTGATGAGTTGGAATTTAATGGGGACCAAGAGAATAGGTGTACAAAGTGTGATATAATGAATTTATCCTATCTCAACCAATTGCTTTGTTATGGGATCCCCAGCAAATTTGCCCCTCTTCCTTTTGCAATGTATTGCCTAGAAGCATTCCCTATCTGCCATGTATTCTCTGGAATCATTAACAACATGATACATCACATAAAGGCAGTTTTGAGAAATGAAAAAGCAAAGTAACAACAGAATTTAGAAGATCCAGATTATACATGCAGACATGTTGCAAATTAGCTGTATAATCATATATAACTAGGGAGAGTTCTGGCCACTCTGGGTCCTAGTTTTCATGCTGTGAGATGAAAGAATTGGACTAGTTCAGTAATTCTCAGGCTTTTTTTTTTTTCTTGCTAACAAACCTAGGGGGAACACTCCATTAGGTACATTTTCTTTGTGTGGATAGATGTAGTAGGGTCATAGCAGAATAAGAATGAATGTTCAGAATATGTGTATGTGTGGTGTTTACTATTACAGTATTTCAGCGAAGAAATAAGGGAGATGATGGTCAATTGATTTTCCAAAAGTTTCAATTTTATACCTTAGATAAAATAAGAACCCATTTAAAGCAGATGAAGGGAAAGTTTCTCTTTAGAGAAGAATTCCAAATAATAAATGAACAAGGAATAACTGAATATCACCACTATGCAACTCCTAATGAATTTAGGTGATAGGTACGTAGGAGTTTGTTATTCTATTCTTTCTTTTCTATCTGTTTACATTTTCCATGAAAAAGTTTTTAAAAATAGTCATAGTAGAAGAAGGATTGTACTTGTGGTCACAAGTCCCAAGCTGAATCCTGCTACACTCTTCCTATTAGTGAAAAGTCCATGGGAAAACAATTTAACTATCTTTGAGGTTAATCTGTAAAACAGGTAAAATAATCCTGGGATTGCTGTGAAGATTAAATGAGCTACATGTAAATGGCCCCAGAACTGCGACTTTATATAGCAGATCCTTAAAAAAAAAAAAAAAAAAAAAAAAGGAACTTCTTTCCTAATACATGTAAGTCAGCCACACGGTACCTTGAGCATCTTTTGCATGCTGAATAGATTCTACAGTTTGCTTCATCACCCCATCATCTGCAGCTACAACCAATATGACAATGTCAGTGACCTGAGCACCTCTGGCTCTCATTGCTGAGAAAGCAGCATGTCCTGGAGTATCAAGAAAAGTTATCTTTTCTCCAGAAGGCAAAGAGACTGTAGAAACAAAATCCAAGAAAACCAAGGACTCAAATATGTACTTCTTTAATATGAAGGAACATATATGACAGTATCAAACATAATCAATAATTCTTTAAAATAATTTTATTCCTTCCATTAATCTCAATCAGAACAACCCAGATAATCATTTCACAATGAAAAGCAATAAAATACCAGTTAGACCTTTAAGGTTTTCTTTTCGTGTAATAATTTCAAACTAAGACTCCTCATATTTCTAGACTATAACTACTTTCATAAACATACCAACTGATATCTATTCTGGAGAGAGAACAGACCAATAGTTGTACAGGCAGCCACCCTGACATTAGCAAACCACAGCTGCACAACTGCCTTGAGTCACAGAAAGGCAATTTAGTATACAGTTAGTAGCTCAGGATTTGAATCCAACAACCCTGGGTTTAAATCCTGGCTTAGCCTCTGACTAGTTATGTACTTTGGGCAAGTTACTTAACCTCAAAAAGTCTCAGTCTCCTTATCTGTAAGTAGGAATATTAATACCTACCTCATGAGGTTGTTGTGAAGATAAAAATGATAAAGCATATAAGGTGTTCAGCACAGTGCTGGGCATATGCTAAGTGCTCAGTAAATGGTACTACTATTTAATTATTATTAGCAACATTATCACAACCTAGCACTGGAGGCTACATAAACATAATTAATCAGTAAAAAACTTTAGGTTCATCAGGTCAAAGAATGAGCTAGAATAAAAAAGGTAATATAATTTTCTTCTTATAGAAAGTACAAAGTAACCTTTATTAACCACGTGGTTCTATAATTCATCAAACCAATGGCTGTAAGCTTTAGCCTTTCCTTTTACTTTGAATTTGTATATCTCATATCATGACATTTCGTTTAAGAAAATATAAGTGAGGTTCCCAAGCACATTGTAAGGTAATTTGTGTTCATACCAAGAAAGGCACCAATGTGCTGAGTGATGCCTCCAGCTTCCATTGCTGCCACTTGAGTTTTTCGAAGTTTGTCAAGTAACGTCGTTTTCCCATGATCAACATGGCCCATTATAGTAACAACTGGGGACCTTGGGGTTAATAAAGCTGGATCTGCCTGGGGCCTACAATTAATAGCAAAGGAGTTTCATTTCTTAAATATCAGAAACACTTTATAGCCTGTGAATGGTTCACAGTTATCTCTGTGAGCTACCATTAACAATAAAATCCAACATTCAGCTTTGATTACAAATAACTATATTGCCCTCCTATGCATATGACAGAATATTTCTTTTTTTGCTGCTTGTGATTTTACATATATAAAAATTCCTTTGAACGGTGTAATTTTTTTTTTTTTTTTTTGAGACAGAGTCTCACTCTGTTGCCAGGGTGAGTGCCGTGGCATCGGCCTAGCTCACAGCAACTTCACACTCCTGGGCTCAAGCGATCCTCCTGCCTCAGCCTCCCAAGTAGCTGGGACTACAGGTGCATACCATGATGCCGGGCTAATTTTTCTATTTTTAGTAGAGACAGGGTCTCGCTCTTGCTCAGGCTGGTCTTGAACTTCTGAGCTCAAACAATCCTCCCGCCTCAGCCTCCCAGAGTGCTATGATTACAGGTGTGAGCCACCACGCCCAGCTATGACAGAATATTTAATGACTGCCTACCTACAGTTGGCATCTTCATTATAATGATCAGAATTGAATCAAATTTTAAAATTCAGACCAGTGTATACACTCAACAAACTAAGAAAAATGACTCTTGAGAGTTTTATAATAACCTGAATATATTTTCTGATGCTTTCAGCACTTCAAAGTTTATTCTATACTCACACATCATTTTAATTACCAAAGAAATGTTAAGCCAATCTTTCCATTAAAAAGTGTAAATAAAACTACGTAGTCTCCCTCCCCCAATATATATGGTTAAGTTTTACCTTCTTACAGCATCTTTATTTTCTCTGACTTTGTCCTTTTTTAATTTGCTCCATTTTAACTTCATCCCTGCTTTCTTTATCACTTCTTTAATCCAGACTTCATCTAAATGTGAGTCTGCTTCTAGTGAATCTATGTCAATAGCAGTGTTCAATAAAGCTTCATATACAAAATCTGGTTGGAATAAAATAAAACCTTTTAGGATGATGAATTAAATGCTCAAGAAAGTGATCTTTATTAACAAATGTCTATATAAACAGCACACTCAATGAAAGGAATAACTATGTAAACTGTTTCTCTTATGTTAACAAATCATGAAGATGCTAACAAATTTTAATTCTTTAAAATACGCATTTATATTAACTGACATTTCTGCATGTTCATAAATATTCAAATATTTATATACCTCCTAAACCATCTGAATCATTAATAAAACATCAAATTGCATATTGTATAAATTTAGTACTGAGTAGTTAATCACAGTATATTTCTTTAAAAACTTGTAGTCACATATGTCAGGCATATACAAATGTGTGTGTGTATATACAATCCATTCTCATTATTTACAATAGTTATGTTCTCTGAGGAGAAATACAAGGTTGAGTTCCTGCAAGCCTCTAGCCACATTTTATCAAGTGATCAATACCTAATCTTGTTTTATGTGTTTCTGTTTAAAGACATTTTTAAAAATATATATCATTGATTCATTAATGTTGAACTCATGGCCAAGAGTACTATAACTCATGCCTGAATGAGCTTATCTAAGACACGTATTTTCTCCGTAAGGCACATCACAGCCATCTTGTGCTTAGAAACACTAGGTAGCACTTCAGCACTACGCTTAGGGGCCATTTTAAACTATGAAATACCAACAAAAAGCATAAAAATGTGAAAAATGTGGCACTAAATAGATCACAAAAAGGACACTTGTTTACAACATGTATAGTGCCACCTTGTTGAAACACAGCTGGAATACACACATTGGGCAATTCAAATTTTTTACCACTCTGCACATATTCAATAATAACTGCAAAAGCACCCTGAGTTTTCAGCTACAAATACATTTTAGTGAGTAGTTGAATTTGTAAACACAGAATCCATGAATAGATACATACACATAGATACATACACATAGTACGTATCTAAGAATACACACACCCACAATTTATTTACTTGTTTACATATCTATTTAGGGTGTCCAAAAAGTCTTGAAATCTAGGAAAAATATTTATTTACTTTCATTTCATTTAATGTGCCTTGTTTTAATCTCAGTCATATTTCCCTGTGGATGATAAATAAATGTATCTGTGATAATAATGAAATAAGTAGTTTTATGTTTCCAGACTTTCAGTCACTCTATAAAAGTAAATTTATTTTTATTTATTTCTTTTATTTCTACTTTAAAATTTTTTTATTTCTTTTCTTTCTTTTTTTCTTTTTTAAATACAGGGTCTTGTTCTGTTGCCCAGGCTGGAGTGCAGTGGTGCAATCATAGCTCACTGCAACTTCCAACTCCTGGACTCAAGCAATCCTCCTGCCTCAGCCTCCCAAGTAGCTGGAACTACAGGCATGTGCCACCACGCCTGGCTAATTTTTTAATTTTTTTGTAGAGATGGGGTCTCGCTATGTTGCCCAGGCTGGTCTTAATCTCCTGGCCTCAAGCAATCCTCCCATCTCAGCCTCCCAAAGTGCTGGGATTACAGGCATGAGCCACCATCCCCAGCCTAAAAACATATTTAAAGAATAGATATGAAAGAAAGGCATCTGAGGGTAACATTACACTAAAAGAACATCCTATTCAGTGGTGTGCTAGTAAATGTTTAACAACTAGGCTCTCAAAAACAAATTCCTAGTTTACAGTATTTCCCAATTCCCATGGTGCAAATATATCCCCCAGGGTTGATTTCCTGCTACCAACATGCAGTCACTGAATGCAGAAATGGGAAGAGATGCAGGGTAGCACGCTACTGTGCAGTATTCCTGCCATACAGATATGACAGGTATAAATAACCTCAAGAACATACATAATAGTAAAATGCAATAAAATTATTAAGAAGTGAACACAGTTTTGATGAGTTATTACTACCTTTGTTTATGATTTAATTTTTAAAAATGATTGTATTTAACAACCAGTTCACATGATTCCTTAAAATTTAGAATGAGCTCACAAACTGATGCAAGCCAGCCTCAGCAAGCTACTGATCCTATTCCATAATAATGCCAAGAAACCATTTCCTATTCATCTCCCCACCATATCCTTTCTCAAGAAAACACATTTTAAGAATGATATAACTCAAACTTTCTTTGTGCATACGCTTTCGGAGAACTATGAAACTCTTTCAAAACATAAAAATTATAATGAGTGCAATGGTATTTCTAATAATGGTAAAAATTCCTAATAATCTAGCTACTACAGTTTTCTAATATGTTATCCTGAATTTTTAAGAAGTAGTCTATGTATAAGGATGATCTCTTCCTCCCTGTATTAAGTGCATATGGTATTGACATATATTTTATCTTTATCTAAGTAAATAAATATTTATAGGTAGAAAAGTATCCGAAGCACTTTAATCAGAAATATTATATCATGCTATTTTAACTAATCCAGGGGAGGAGATAAAATATATACTCATATTGCTAATATATATTGTAGTTAAAAATAATTAACTCATGAAAACTATCTTTAATTCAGAAGAGATTTAAATATATTAATAATATTAAATAAGCTTCAAATAGATAACTTTCATTTCAATCATAGCAAATCAGTTTGGGGTTTAGAGCACTGCTCCATGGGACTAAATTTATATTTTAATTATTTATTTGGTGACACTAAGGAATTATTATGGTTATGGGTTCCTCTATCTGTGGGGAGGTAATGTTTAAAAAAAAAAAGGAATACTCATCTTTCGGAGATACATACTTAAGTATTTATGGATAAAAATGATTTATTAGTAATTATCACTGCCTTATACATACATTTAAGCATATTCCATTCTTTCTGTTTTCATATATGTTTGAAAAACAATTGCCAATAATAAAAAGTTTAAAAATCTAGTCTATCATCAATGTTATTAATAAAATTGCATCAATACAGTTTCCCTTGGAAAAATTCAGAATGATGTAGCCATATCTATTTATTCCCCTATAGTTTTATAATTATAAAATGATTATGTAATCCAACTGCAAAGTTATAAAAATGTACAATAGTATTCTAATTTTCTATTCTTTGTAGGGATGTATGTGCACAAAGAGCGGTATCACTTTCAAGCAGGAAACACATTAAAATTTTAGCTCTGCTGTAATTTACAAAATAACAATTCTTCCAAGATAATTTGGTCTGTTAATAAAAGCATGTGCTCTGGAGCTATAATCCCTGGGTTCAATTCCTGGCCCTACCACAAACTAGTTGTGAAATCATGGGCAATTATTCATCCTCTCCATGTCTCACTTTCTTGACCTATAATAGGGATACCTACCTAGAGGGCATTGTGAGAATTACAAGAGTTAATACTTATAAAGTACTGGTACATATTAACAGCTCAATACATGTGCATTATTATTATAATTCTTTCTTTTTTCCAAGAGTCTTCATTTGTCACTTTACTTTGCTACAATAATAGACTATTTCTTATATACTTAATGTCAGTTTATAATGAAAACTCAAATTTTATTCCAACAATCCTAAATTGGTAATAAGTATATCAATGGCATAATGAAGGAATTAAGAAATGATAATCATATGCTCCTATAATCACTACATATAAAAATAGTATTACTAAAAGTTGTAGTTATAACTACAACTATTTCTCTGCTGGCCTTACAGATATTGTCAAAACAAGTAAAAAAAAGGAAATAAAAAATTATTAAAAAAACAAAGGGAAAAGTAAACGAGTATAAGCATAGCTCCTCAGTTCAAAGACATTCTCTAGACTTATTCTAATAGCATACAAAATTTCTGAGAAAGAAAGGTTAATCCAGATAAGAAAGTCTTTTCCACTTTTATTAAAAGTAAAATCTTGGAGAACTACATGTGGCAAAGAGCAAGAAACTAGGGTTTGCGACCTAAAGTAAAAAAAACTGGAATGACTCAATATCTTTTTAAAGTGTCAGTCTAGTTTTTACCCTTGAATGCCTTAATCTCACTGTAAATAAAATTCCAGGTCTTCCACGTTCCCATATTTTTCCTTGTAAAATTGTCTGGCTCACCTGTGTTTTTTTCCATTGCCCTGGCCAGTTCCTCAACAGTCATTCCAATCCATACTTCTATCTCCTTTTTTGATTTTGTTGAAGATAACTGAGATTTCCATGGTCTTTCTTCCTATTAAAAAGTCAGAACACATACACAAGAAAAAAATTTAAGCGACAATTTAGACAGTGAATATCTACCACAACCACAATCTACAAAGACTCTCATAAAGTAGTTAACCCTTAGACTAAAATAAAAAATCCTGCATCCATAATTCACTGTTATTCACTAATTTCCAAGTAATCAAATCCATCAGCATTACCACACAACTAACCAGAACTTCCCTTCCCCACAAAGATCTACTGCCTGGAGTATAGCATTAATAATAAATATTGCATAAATGATAAAATACTCAAAACACTCAAAATACTCATGGTTCTTGGCACTTTCATCTCAGACCAAATAATACAATAACTGATGAAATCTGTAACTACCTTCTTTGTTACTAGAAGCCTATATTGAGATAAAGCAGCCCCGATGAGCATGTCTATCTGCAAGGGCCGGGCATACAGCTGAGCTGCCCACACTGGGTAAGCAGATGAAAATCCATGCCTCCACTGTGCCAATGCTCTTCTCTGACCCACGCTATGCAGCTGTCTACAAAGAGTGTGAAATCGTAGCAAGTTCTCTAACTTCAGTAGCTTCTGGTTCATGTTCCTCCTAGAAAAAAGGTTTTAAAATACTTTGATTAATATTCAAATCAAGTTAGCAAATATTAATAATTGGATATTTACTACATGCAAAGCACTATGCTAGGTACTAGAGTTACAAAAATGAGGAAAACTGGGTTCCTGCCCTGAAAGAGCTCACAGTTCAATCAAAGAGATGGGATTCCATACCAAGGACTCCCTAGATAGTAGCTATCATTATTGTTAACATTACTACTATGATAGAACTGAAATACAATAACAAACGTTACAAAATGCTTTTTTCACTCTTGAAACATCAACTGACCAAATAACAACTAAAGTGAATTTTTAAAGTGCAAATTTGAACTTATCACCTCTGTTAAACACCCTCCAATGGCTCTCCATTATCCTCAATTTCATGTATAGCTTCATAACATGCTATATAAGGACTCATTATCTGACCTCTGCTAACCTCTCACTTCATTTCTGACACTCTTACACTCTCCCCATACCTACCTCCCAAGCTTTTGTTATTCTGACCCACATATAATCTCCGGTGGTTTTCATCTCATTTCTGAACCTTTGCATATGCTTCCTCTATCTGGAATTGTCTTTCAACTATTAAAACTTTCCCATCTCTCCACCTCATCCCCTAAAACAAGATGCTTTATAGTAGGAAGAAGCCACCCAATATTTATTGAATAATGCCTTTTGAATATTATTCCTGCAATGAAAGAAAAGTTTATTGAGAGAAAACTATAACAGAACTCATTAGTAATATAGTTATTTTCCTCCCAGAGTCTTCAACTTCCTCTGCTCTCAAGACTGCATTTCTACAGTTTTGCTTTTCAGTTTTTAAGGACAGGAATAACTAAAATAATGTAAGAAATACATACTTTCTCCCTAGGAAACACTTCCGAAGTACCACATGCTAAGAATTGTGCTTGATGTTGTTGATTCAGAGTTTAGTAAGTCAGAGTCCCTTCCACAAAGAGTTCACTGTCTTTAAAGCTTTCCAATAAAATGATTCTCAGGTACACCAGACACAGGACTGATTACAACCTAGGGCAGCATTTTCACTGTAACAATATGCATAATTCTTTCTGTAAATTGTAAAGTCATTTTAAGGCTTTTTAATAAATGGAGAATAAATTTCCAAGTAGTGGATATGGCCTTTTAGATTCTTCAGTATAAACTTTCTTTTACTGACTACTCAGAAATAATTTTAGTTAACACTTTAGTATGTATCTTTTCAACCCTTTTCTTTGTGCTTGTATCTATTTTACTTACAAAAATAAAGTCATATTATATTTTGTTTTATAACTTTTTCCATTAAAGAATATATTGTGAGTATTGTTTTATGTCATTAAATATTACAGTTGGCCCTCCATATCTGTGGGTTCCTCATCCGTGGATTCAAACAACTGTTCATCGAAAATATTAAGAAACAAAAAATGGGTGGTTGCATCTATATTGAACATGGAAACTTTATTTCTTGTCATTATTTCCTAAACCATACAGGATAACAACTATTTACATATAATTTACATTGTATTAGATATTATAAGTAATCTAGAAATGATTTAAAGTATACAGGATTATGTAGGTTATATGCAAATACTATACCATTTGACAGAAATGCATCCGTTGATTTTGGTATGGGGAGAACTGGGATTCTTCAATGTTACAAAATAAAAAGAATAAGAATTATGGACTATTTCAATGTGTTTACCTTAACCATATAAAGCTATCTTGAACAAAATTCTAAACTTTTACAAAGGGTTAAAATTTTTTAACTATTTCTCTCATGGCATTTCTAGAATATGCTTTCATTTTATATTTATATATATAACATGTATAAATATATTTGCATATATTATATATATAAATATATTCATATTTTCTGCTAGATATTCTTTAAAATTATTCACAAATGATAATAGTTATTTGATGTGACCAAAAAAATTGAGACTCTGGACAGGCGAGCTTTGCTAGATAACTGGACATTAAATATCAAATATTTCAACCAATTTTCCCCAAATATATTTTACAGTCCTGACATAGTATACTGAATACTTTTTAAAAGAAAGAAAAGAAACAATAACTGAAATAGGCACAGTATCATGAAGACAGTACCTGACTAGGCAACGAAAGAACCCTGGTTGGACACTCACTCTGACATATGCCAGCAAGTGTTACCTTGATTGAGCAAGTTACTTTTTTCCTGTCGGTCTCATTTCTCTGATCTCTATTAAAAGAAAGTGGAAGTGTTTGAATATCTGTCCTTTCTACTACCAAGGCTATGAGGAGAAAATGGGATGATGTATATACTTTATCATTAGCTATTTTAAAATCATATTACATGCTTTTTAATGATGGATAATCTACTTTGAGGATTCACTGCTTCTAAGTTTAAAATATTCACAAGTCACTACGTTGTTTATTAATGGATAATTCTGAGGTTTTGTGTGTGTGTTTAACATAGCAAGCATTTTACCTTAAAAGATTTATTCAAGTAAAGATCAAAAGAAACATCTGGCTTAATTCCAAAGAAATAAACACATTAAGATTTAAAAATTCATTCAAGGCCGATCACAATGGCTCATGCTTCTTGGGAGGCCAAGGCGGAGGATCATTTGAGCCCAGCAGTTGGGGGCCAAGACCAGCCTGGGCAACACAGGGAGCCCTTGGCTCTACAAAAAATTTAAAAATTAGCCAGGCGCTATGGCATGCACCTGTAGTCCCAGCTACTTGGGAGGCTGAGGCAGAAGGATCGTTGAGCCCAGGAGTTTGGGGCTGCAGTAAGCTCTGATCACGCCATTGCACTTAAGCCTGACCCAGTCTCAAAAAAAAAAAAAAAAAAAAAAATTCATTCAATAGTAACCAAGCATTTACACACATTAAACACTTCAAGAACGACACATATAAAAAATCTTATTTAGGTGTGTGCCCCTGGACTAAGGAGTAAAGAGTGCTCAGAAAACACAAGATTCATTAGGAAATTATTTTTAAATGAATCTGAAACCAGATTTGACAAGGACACAGATTAATGGAGTGGGAAAAAGGACCCTACAGGTTACCCAAAGCACAGATATGTAACTGAGGCAGAAACACACACACCAAGCCTCAGACACATCGGGGACAACAATCCAAACGTCAAAACTAGAAGGAACCTTAGTTGTTACTTATTCCAAACCTCTCATTTTACAAAAAATGAATCTGGAATCCAGAGGGGTTAAAAAGAACTCTCCAATGTCATACCGCTAATTAATGGCAGTCAGGACCAGAACCCAGGCTTTCGGGCTCCCAGTTTGGTGTTGTCTCGTCGCTAGGATATTCTTATCAAGGAATCTGAAAAAAGGATATTGGAAATACGTAGTTGCATTAGAGGAAACGTCTTAAGAGTTGGAAGCTTTGGAACTTATCTGAAAGGTAAAAATAAGTCATTGTAGAAAAATTACGGATCTGGGGTGGCTTCGCCTCAAACCCGAGTCCAGAAAGCCGTGGGACCAGGGGAGGCTGGATGCGGGGGCCCGCATCCGCAGCGGCGCGCGGGGAGAGGAAGCAAGCCCGCCGCATCTGGGAGGGCAGTGCACATGCTTTCGTGAATGCCTAGCTTGGGGTCACGCTAGGACTAAATGCACCTTGGAAGGGCTTCCAAATACGCAATATTTATGAATTAGCGTCATTTGTGCCACTGACACTTTAGGCCAAACAATACACGCCACCCGGACGACCCTGGCTAAGGGACCCCACTCACTTTGCTCACACATAAGGCCCCGTGCCCCTGGATTCTGAGCCCGGGCGGAGAACACCTTCCGGACCTGGAGAACTGTCCGTCGGTCGGTGCGTCCCCTAAACGGTCCCCGATGGGCTTCCGGTCCCACCGGAAGAGGTTCTTCCCCAAATTCAGCCTCGCTGTAGCCGCCGCCAGTGGTGGGGATCTCTTGAGGTGTCCCTCCCTGGTTAATCGCTTCTGCAGATACCTTCTATTTCTAGGAAGCAGATGACTAACACTTCTCTGGGGAGATGAGCAGCCTCGGTGCCTACACTCGAGGAAAAGTTAAACGGGGAACTGTGGGTGAAATGGTAGATATGTCCTTCAAAGACACGTGTACCGAGCAAGAGGGGAAAAATGCAAGGGACCGTGGCGATAGGACAAGCCACTTAGTACTGTGCGAGGAGTAACCGCAGTTATTTTTTCTTTCAGAAGTCACCTGCTGTGGATGGTATTTGGAGTAGTACAGCCAGAGTGCTTGGGTTCCTATCCCAGCTCATTCCTACTGTGTGGTTGGGGACGTTTCGTCAACTCTCTGTGCCTCAGTTTCCTCATCTACAATATAGTCATGACAGTAGCTACTTCACAGGTTCATAGTACAGTTTTAATGAGTTAATAAAGTGTTGATAATAGTGCCTGGTTCACAGTGTTTGCTCTTAAAATTATTAGAGCCTCCTCCCGGAGCTTTTCCTCACCGTAATTGACCTTTATGTCTTTTGGTCCTCTTCACCAGAACCATCACCACCTTTGGAGAGTATAAGTAGCTGAGGCGGGAGCATCGCTTGAGGCCAGGAGTTGGAGGCTGTAGTGAGCCATGATTCAGCCACTGTGCTCCAGCCTGGGTAAGAGAGTGAGATCCTGTCTCTTAAAAAAAAAAAAAGAAACCGAAAAACCCACAACCCTATTCTAATCGTGGGGAAAACATCCGACAAACCCAAATTGAAGAGTATTCTACAAAATACCTGACTAGTACTCTTCAAAGCTGTCAAGGTGATGAAAAGCAAGAAAAGACTGAGAAACTGTTACAGATCAGAAGAGACTTAGGAGACACAACAACTAAATGCAATGTGGTATCCTTGAGAGCATCCTGGAACAGAAAAGTGGAAAAACTGGTGAAATTTGAATAAAGTCTATAGTTTAGTTAATAGTAATACCCCAATGTTAATTTCTTAATTTTGGCACATGTATCATGGTTAATGTAAGAAGTTAATGTAGGAAATTGGGAGAAGGGTATTTGGGAACTCTCTACTATTTCTGCAACTTTTCTGTAATCTAAAATTATTCCAAAATTAAAAGTTGATTTTAAAAAAATGAATCAAATCCTAAATCCCACCTCTTTAGAGGTAAACACTTTTATTATTTTGGTGAACATCATTCCATTAATCTCTATGCATAAATACACATATATATACAATTTTATGTAAATGGATTCATATAATAAATGCTTTTTGTCTTTTCAACAATATATAATGGAAACTGTCCCTGCTAATAAACATAGATCCATGCCGTTCTTTCTAATGACTGCAAAAGATTCCATTGTCTATAATTGCCTTAACTCATAGAGAGACATATAGATTGTTTCCAGTATTTAAATTATAAACAATGTTGTAGTGAACATCCTTGGGCATACACTTTTGCATGCCTGTCCAGTTCTTTCTCTAGAATAAATTCCTGCCTGGACATGGTGGCTCACTCTGTTCCCTGGGCTAGAGTGCAGTAGCATTATCATAGCTAATTGCAACCTCAAACTTCTGGGCTAAAGCAATCCTGCCTCAGCTTCCCCGGTAGCTAGGACAATAGGTGTGCACCACGACGCCCAGCTAATTTTTATTTCTTAATTTTTTTGTAGAGACGGGGTCTCATTATGTTTCCCAGGCTGGTTTCAAACTCTTGGACTCAAAGTGATCCTCCCACTTCATCCTCCCGAAGTGCTGGAATTACAGACATGAGTCACTGTGCCCAGCCTCATAACTGTCATTTCTAACAGTAAGAAACTTGACTCCCCTCAGGCTTAATATATTTATTTAATCAAGTCCTCTGTATGAAAGCAATCTCCAATCTGGTCATCTCCCCCTCCCCTGTGCTCATGCCCTTCTCTCTCCAGCGTGGACTCCAAGGCCAGTCCACCCCTTCAAGGGAATATCCTCCTCACTGTGGTTGGATGTAAGATGTTAACAGTAGGAGAAAGTGAGTGAAGGGTATTTAGGACCTCTCTCACTCTCTTTGCAACTGTTCTGTAATCCGAAATTATACCCCATGTAGAGCCACTGGAGCCCCCATCCTCATCCCTACATCTGTGGATGCCAGCGTTGCTCTCCCCCCCTGTGGCTTTAGGACTGAATTATTAAGGAAGGGGTGGGGGTAAGGAAAGGCTCCTATTCCCACTTCATCTCATGTCCTTTGTTAACCTAAAAGTTTGATCATATTAACCATGGGACATAACTATGTTTGAACACAGGGGGAGTCAGTTTATCCACAAATATGTTTCATATTGCCATCTTCTTGGTGAGAAGCCATTTCTCAGAAATGTATTAAATGATAGGTCATAAAACACACCTAGTGAGCAAACTTGAATGTGAAGAACAGTATGAAAAGAAAAAGGAAACAGAAAAGCAGCTGTATTGCAGCCATCTCTTCCCTATCTAGCCTTAGTTCTGCCTTTCACCTTGCTCCCTCTACCAACTTTGTTCTTGCCTTTCAGTGTCTTGGCTAAAAGCTGCCTTAAGGGGATAGATCTCTTCAATACCTAGACCAACTATAGTTCTTGGTGCTAATTAGGGGTAAGTGGTGCCTTCCGCAAGAGGGGCAAGGGGCAAATTGCTGCCCAGTGCATGCTGGCAAGACAGTACTAGAAAGAGCTACAGCCATCTCTCCTGGGCTTGTTCCCTAGAACAAGGAGGCAATCACAAGGAACAACACAGGCATTAAGCTTCTTCCAAAGAGAAGTTGATCAGGGCTTCAGGAAAGCAGATCAAAATTGCAAGATTTAAGTGTGTTATGTTTTGTGTCTCAATCGTCACTTGTTGGCTTTACAAAATAAAGCAAAAGCCCTGTAATATAAATCACTAGAGAAATAGCGCCAGGATTTAGAACTAGAAAAGACTTGAGAGCTTGAATCATGGCATTCTAAAATTATCAGTAATAATCATGACTATCATTTTCCACTGCCAATTATGTAGTAGGTACATAAATTATTATATTGAATATTTTGTACAGCAGTTATTCTTAGCATATTAGCAGGTTTGGGGCTCACTGATGGTTTGTTTTTATTGACTCTGATTTGATAACCTCCTAGTAAGTAATTGGCAATCCAGAGGTCAAATTCTTCCCCCCAGGCCAGCAGCCTCACCTCTCCAAAGGAGGCCTCTAAAGGTTAAATTTTGGTAAGGTCAATTTATTTTCAATGTGTAGTTTCAAAGGAAATCACTGAACCTTAATGAAAATGATAGCTACCATTCATTTGATGTTTACTAAGAGTCCAGCATTGTTTTAAATGTTTTACAGTCATCATCTAATTCAGTTCTGCCAACAAACCAGAGGGGATGCATTATCCTTGGAGAAGTTAGTAACTTGCCAGGTCACATCCCTAGTCATTGTTGAGGGAACTAAATTCAAGTCTGTACGATTCCAAGACTCTCTCTTAACCATTTTCATATTCAAAGAAGTTGAATTAAAAATCTTCAGGGTCCCATCCAGCTTTGAGATTTTACCTTTGGAACATATGAATATAAGCACTTTTTAAGCTTACATTTGATATCAACCTATACTCCATGATATATAGTAAATCTTTGAGTTTCCATTAGTATTGCGGCTACTGTTCAAACAATTCTCCCTAAGGAAAACACTAATACGAGAATTGTTGTATTTTAAATTCCAGGTGGAAAACATGCATTAACCTCTAGTAATGTCTAATAAAACCTCTAATAAAAATTTTAATGAGGCCAGATGTGGTGGCTCACGCCTGTAATCCTAGCACTCTTGGGAGCTGAGGTGGGAGGATCGCTTGAGCTCACGAGTTCGAGACCAGCCTGAGCAAGAGTGAGACCCCCCATCTCTACTAAAAATGGAAAAATTGGCTGGCATGATGGCACACACCTGTAGTCCCAGCTACTCAGAAGGCTGAGGCAGGAGGATCCCTCAAGCCCAGGAGTTTGAGGTTGCTGTGAGCTAGGCTGACGCCACAGCACTCTAGCCCAGGCAACAGAGCGAGACTCTGTCTCAAAAAAAAAAAAGTTTTAATGATATTGAGCATTGGCTCTTCATCGGCAATGAGATAGTTGTCTCTTTACCACTGGCAAGTGGTAAAGACTTTTCTGTGAGTTTCCTCTTGAATCCCATCAAATTATACTGCATTGATTTCTTCATACACAGTTACATATTTTCAATGTGTGAAGTAGGCACTGTATGTATTCCGTATGTCATTTTGATCATTACAGTACATGACTTGTCCATAAATGACTATTTACCTGCTTAGTTTATTTTTCAGTTTTAATCTTGAGCTTTTTAAGTGTCCTTTCCTATTTCATGCTTGTTGGACATGCCCATATGATCTAGTTTGACGTACTTGGGGGACCTCGTGGGCATGGTAATGCAGATTTACAAGATTGCAAAATGTTTCAATGCAGCAGAGAAATCTTTAATCTTTTTTCTAATTAATGTTATTATTCAAAGATAAATTAGAATGTGTCAGTAATAGTTATAATCATAACTATCATTTTTACACTGCCACTTATATACTAGGCATATAAATACTTTTATAAATAAATATATTTAATAGTTTACATATTAAATATTATATTTAATATTCTGTACAGCAGTTTCACAGAGTCTATTTTGTACAGAGTGTTAGAAACTGGTCTCTGGAACCTGAGAGAGGTTTTGTGGCACATTTTTATTTCTTAGAGTATGATGTGCTAAGCAAAAAGAAAAACGGGTCTCTGAAAAAAATGTATGTATAATCTAAATTCAACATCATAAGAATAATGACTTATTAAACTTTGGAATAATTACGAAAATATCAGTAAAATTTTTGAACTCAGATGATATATGCCAATGAAACTG